ATTAAATAACATATAAATAAGCAAAAATAAATTATATTATGATTGTCAACTATTATTAAATATTATTATTATTATTACTGTAATATTTTATTTATTAAATTATAAATATAAACATACACAGTGTGTGTTTATGTATGTATGTATGTGTTTGTATGTGTGTGTGTATGTATGTATGTTTGTGTGTGTATGTGTGTGTGTCATAAACTATAAGCCAAAAAAGGCAATAAATGTCAAAAACATTTTAATCAGTTTTATGTATGTATATTATCAGTAAATACACTCATCGATGATGATATAGTTATAAATTAAATATGATTATCATTATTACTTTATATATTGATAGATATAGATATACATACAGTTTTACATGTATATATAAATTGAAAAATTAAATGATTGCATGTAATGTATTAATATGTATTATATTTGTATGGCAAACACACATGTGTTTTGTCGCGTATGTCATGCGTGTCCAGTAAAATATACTGATATATACAGTATATATAAATATTTTATAACCATATTTAATATATATATATATAAATACTGTATATATAAATGTATAAATATTTTTTTTAAAAAAATATATGACAGTCCAATACACTAACAGAGAAAAAATATATATATAAAATAAATTAATAGTAAATGTTTTAGTCAACAACAATACAAAACAAAAAAATGTTAACACATTTGTATTGTTTATATTTTTTCAATATATATCTATATATATCTATATCTATATATATTCTGTATTATTATTATTATTATTTCTATGAATATAATAATAAAAATATAATTTCAAACATATAACATATACATCACACGCCACACACACACCAAACCAGTCAATAAAGTGTTTATATATATAATAATAATAATAATTTCATATTTTAGGTGCTATTATACAATAAAAAGTAATTTACTATATATTTATACTAAATAAATACTAGCAATAAAGTTAAAGTCAATTTGTATAGTACTGTGTGTGTGAGTGTTTGAAAAACTAAAATCAATCATTAAATATGACAAATAATACCTGCACTGGTATTACAGTGTATATTAGTGTATTTGATGCACACATTTAACCACCAGTTCCCTTAACTGACTTTTCCTCCCATTATTATTACCATCCATATAGACAGTCGGTAACGACAACAACACATTTATAAGCTAACTGAGCCCTCACACGTATTATAATACTAAGAGATACAAAAACATATTGTATAATACAATATATATATAACTGGGTGGTAATCAAACTATATAAATGAGGGCCTAAAATGTTTCATAAGTTACTAATATATATATATATATATATAGGAGAGAGAGAGAGAGAGAGAGAGAGAGAGAGAGAGAGAGAGAGAGAGAGAGAGAGATTACAAATATATTTATAGCATAATAGAAATACAATTGCATTTTAGTTTAGTTTAGTTTTTTATAGTCATTTTCCATATATTATTATTAGTAGTACTTTAGTATTAGAGAGAGAGAGAGAGAGAGAGATATGAAAGGAGAGATGATTTATATTATTATATGAGAGATGCGATTATAAGCGATGCTATAAAAAACTAGTGAGAGAGAGATAGAGATAGATAGAGAGAGAGAGAGAGAGAGAGAGAGAGAGAGAGAGAGAGAGAGAGAGAGAGAGAGAGAGAGAGAGAAAGAAAGAAAGAGAGAAAGAGAGAGAGAGAGAAGTGGTGGGTATATTCAGATGAATTATATTCAGATCAGTTCTGGTGTTTTAGTGGATAGTTAGCATACATTTCATATTTAATTAACCCAATAAAGTAAGTCCGCCTCCTATTTGCTCTCTATCTTTGTAATCAATTTTTTTTATTTCAATCTCTTTCTCTTATTGTTTGCAAATTTCTCTCTCTCTCTCTCTCTCTCTCTCTCTCTCTCTTTCAGTGTGTTTCGATGTCTGTGTCATAATTTTCCCGTAATATTATGAGTCATTCACTTTTATATACAATAATACATTACTGTATGTATCGTATGTTTAGTAAAACTACAGTACAATATACAGTATGATATACATGTTAAGCAAATCTGTATCACTCGGAGGGTTGACTAGTATTGAGCGGTTTAAACGAAAGAGAGAGAGAGAGAGAGAGAGAGAGAGGAAAGTTTTGCCACTTTTACACAACTCTTATATATATTGCTATAGTTTTTCATATATAATATTATATGATATACGATAGAGAGTCTCAAATGCACTGTCATTAGGACTAAATCCTCTCTCTCTCTCTCTCTCTCTCTCTCTCTCTCTCTCTCTCTCTCTGACAAAAAAGCCTCACACAGATTATGAGGTCATCCCTTACTAAATACATTGGGAGTTCATATTTAGATATAGATTTTCTTCTTACTCCCGGTGCTCATATATATATATATATATATATATATATATATACTGTATATAGTCTCGTAGGTCAATGATGTGCAGTAATACATAACTGAAATTTGAGGCTTAATAAGGACTTAAATCTTTATTTGAGAGGATTTTGTTTGCAATGTATGTGTATGTGTTGTGTATGTGTTTTAATGGCAATCAATTTTCCTATGGGCTGCCTATTAAATTAAATGCACATACACTTGAAAAATATATATATATGTGCTTATATAGTGTATAATATATTTGGATATTATTTAATTTATTATACAGATATACTGTATATATATAAGTTATATATTTTGATCTCTAACTTATTATGCGCTTATATAATATAATATTATATTATATAATAATAATTTGTGTGATTGTTTGACATTTTTATGTTATGTTATGTTATATAATAAACAAATATCCAAACAAATCCATTCAATAATAATAATAAAAATATGACAATTATTTTTGTTTGTTTGACATAACAAACATAGACAGGGATGTAATAAATTTGTTATAATTTTTTTTCTCTCTCAATATTTAATATCTATTTGTTTTGCAATTTATATTACATAATAATATCTATTAGTTAGACATAATAATGTTGTTATCAATAATTGTTTTTTATTATTTGTATTTGTTTTTATTCGCAATAATAATAATAATAAAAACACTAAAAAAATATTATATAATAATTATTCGTAAAAAATATGTTATTACAGTATTATTATTATTATTATTATTATGAATCATAAAAAAATAATGAGTAAACACTATATAGTGTTTATATTTTCTGATAATTTAATTTTTGTATTCAAAACGAAAATAAAATAAAAAATATAAATACATTTTATATATATATATGTATAAAAATAATAAATTTCAATGTAAAAAAATGTTGCAATAATATTGTTGTTATTAATGTATTAATAATTACTAGAAAATTGGTGTTTATTTGTCATTTATTTTTGTACTAAAAAAATCATATATTCTTATCTTATTTTAAATATATTTATTATTAATTTAAATATACCAAACATAAAGAGTATATATATATATATATATATAAATAGTTAAATAATCAACAAAAAAAAATTTATTCAAAACATATTGATGACAAAAATTTCTATTGAATTGGCTTTTCTATTGTATTGTGTTATATTAAATCACTGTTTAATGTTTAATGTAATTCAATACCACAGCAGAAAAATAATACCTACCAATTGAATTGATGAGAAAAATAAAGAGAGAGAGAGAGAGAGAGAGAGAGAGAGAGAGAGAGAGAGAGAGAGAGAGAGAGAGAGAGAGAGAGAGAGTCATTACACACACACACATACAGTACATACATACATACACACATACATACATACATACATACATACATACATACATACACACATATATACATACATACACACATATATATACACATACATACACACACACACACACACACACATACATACATACATACACACACACACATACATACACACACACATACACATACACACACACACACACACACACACACACACACACACACACACACATACACACATACACATACATATATATATATATTGTATACACAAACATATATATACACAAACATATACATACACACACATATACATACACACACACACATACATACACACACACCCGCGTACATACCATACCCCCGACAATAGGATGTGATCACCTTTTCCGGCAGTGCATCCATACACCCCATACATACATACTATAGTAGTGAATAAGTCTATTGAAAATTGTTTTTTTCTGTTTGAATAAAAAAAATCATTTAAACTAAAACCCAAACAAACATTCCTTACCCTTTGAAATGAAAAATACTGTACAAATCCAGTCAATTTTGGTGAGACATTTCTCTCCAAAAATACATGACTCATCTCCCGGTTCGTTATGTATGTATATGTGTGTGTGTTTGGTATGCTTTTAAACCTAAACATTTAATACAACTGTAACTCTATACTCATGTATGTGTGTGACACTCACTCACGGAGGACTTTCCCTTTCCCTTACAACTTCCTCACCCATTGCTTGCCTCACTGTCCTCTCTCTCTCTCTCTCTCTCTCTCTCTCTCTCTCTCTCTCTCTCTCTCTCTCTCTCTCTCTCTCTCTCTCTCTCTCTCTCTAACTGATTCTCTCGTCTCAATTCATACAAACAATACGATTGATTTGTGAGAGAGAAAGAGAGAGAGAGAGAGAGAGATGCAAAAAAAATCTGTCAATCAGTGGTGACAATAATACTGACAATAAAAAAAAGTTTTTATACATTTTATGATTGGTTTGGCATAACTTTTATAGTAACACACATATACTATACAGTAATATATAATAGAGAAAGAGATTTATCGCCAATTGATGATTCATTAATCCCAGGCAATAGATCCCCCAAAAACATACAGCACTTACACACTCACTCACTCACACACTCACTCGTACTCACCGTTAATATGTATGTATGACACAGTCATTCACAATATATATAAAAAAAATAAATAAAATTATTTAAAAAGGACTCTTCAATTGTGTGACATATTATGCTCGAGAAAAAGGCCCCCCAATTGTCCCCAAAATAATAGGAGTGTCATACCTCTCGTTGTATAATAATAATAATTGTCTCCCATTCCCGCGCACTACTCCTATCGGGTTGAGCCCTACTTTCACTGTCCCTCTCTCTCACGATGACTGTGTGTGTCCGTCCATATGGATGGTATGTCATAGGAGTACTGTACAGTACTGTACAAACATATCGGTATAGATATGTTTGTATGAGTAATACTAGTCAAACAGTCACTCACTTACTCACTCACTCACTCACTCAGGGATGTACAGGGACTACTTACACACTTATATATATACACACACACACACAATATGATTATGTATGTATGTATTTATCATTGATGGATATATATATATGTATATATTGATTACCAACTTTTTTTTAATATTTTATTTTATTTTAGTTGCAGTAACTTATTTTCCCATCAAATATATTTCATAATATATATATATATATATATATATCTATCTCTATACTGAATATATTGAATATAAATTTATTTATACATAAAATACTGTATAAATGCATTGCATTACAATATATACTGATATATATATATATTTTTAATCATCAGATGATTCGCTTATTCATTGTCTCTAAAAATATCTATTCACAGACTCTCTCTATCTCTCTCTCTCTCTCTCTCTCTCTCTCTCTCCCCTACTCTCTCTCACCTAAAAATGTGTGACTCATTTGGTTAACAAATATTAAGGGGACAGACAGACAGTCAGTCAGTCAGTCAGATAGACATTATGTAACCGAAATATATATATATGTTTCTATCACTAATATAAATAAATATATTCAATTCAATAATACATTACTCTCCTAAATACTAGTAATAGTAATTTAATAGTAACTCTCTCTCTCTCTCTCTCTCTCTATATATATATATATATATATATGTATGTTTATAGCATTTAAATTGGCATTGAAAAAATAAACATTAGCAATTTTATTTTTCTGGGTATATTTATATAATAAAAATTTTTATTGTATTAGTATTATTTAACATATATATATATATATATATATATATATATATATATATATATATATATATATATATATATGTATATATATATACAGTATATATATAGTTAATAGTATAATAGTTAAGATAAAATTCCTATGTAGTGATAGTGATATTTATATTTATTCAATAATATAAACTTTTTTTATACAAACAAATATCACAATACAAGTTGAGAAAAAAATTAATACTAATTATATAAAGTGTAATAAAAGTAAAATGTTTTTTTTAAAAGTTATTAAACTTTAAAAATGTCATAATTCATCATAAATATTGATAAAAAAAAATTTAGTAATTAATTGGCAAATAATTTCTCTTAAACTTAACTTTTTGTTTGTTTTATTTGTCAATTACAGTATTTTTTGTTTTGTTTTTTCAATAAATAAAATAAAATATCATAACATTAAAAAAATACATATACTGTACAACTATATAAAAAAACAATTACAGTATAATATACACAATAAAAATATTTGTAAAATAAAATAATATTAATAATGTATATCAACAACAATAACAACAACAAAAATTATTAATAATTTAATAAAAATTAATTATTATTGATATTATTATTATAAATGTTAATTAAAATTGAATACTTTGTTATTAAAAAAAATAAACTTTTATAAAACAAATATATGCAGGAAAAAAAATTATATCTAAAAAATAATACTAATATACAGTATATATACAAACAAAAATATAGTTAAATATTTTTAATTAATTAATTAATTAATCGGTTGTTTACAATTGAGAGATAGTTAGGAGGATTAGTGTGTGGATTAGGATTAATAATAATGGATTAACTAATCCCTTATTCATAAAACTATTCATAGTTATTGGTTTTCGGATTGAATTGTTTCTGTGATTTAGTTTTCTTTAACGGATTTTCTTGTTTATCCTTTTGTTCTTTGACTTGTCTGTCGACTTCTTTCAGATAATACATTTGATAGTCTTTTTCATAGAAATCGGGAACCGTTACGGAAAAGCCGTCGATTTTTTTGGTTATCATCCGTACAGACGACTGTCCTTTGACTTTAATTTCGTATTTGATTAGCTGTTCCCAGAAACCCATATTAGGTCGGGCACATTCACGACGTTTGTATACAGAATTAAAGGCATTCCTCAGCGGTATTTTCTCGTACTTTACCAGATAGGCTGTCCCAGAGTACATACACACACACACATAAAAATAGTAATTAATTAGCACAGGTATGTATATGTATATATGGGAAGAGAGAGGTGAGGTGGGATGAGAGTAAGGGTAGCAAACAAACAAACCTATAGCCAATGTTGTTGAACGACTGGCACCGGCCAGACAGTGGATCAGAGTTTTGCCATTCAATTGTGTATTTTCTTCAATTTTGTCGCTAACTTCATCAAAATAGATGGATATGTCATCGGTTGGCGCGTCGTCCACCTAATAGATTGATTGAATGGATAATCAATGGGGTTATAGAAATCGGGTAATATTACGGTAAATACAAAACTTACGGGAACTCTGATACACATAATGCCTTCGGGTTCAATACACGGCCACTCGTAGGTAGCGTTGACTATGAGTGTAAAGCCTTCCTTTTTGAGATTCTCTCTGGACAGCGACCCGATACCCGACAGATAGACAAATTTGGTCAGTTTCGTACACATATTAAACGGCGGTCCAAATATTAGCCGAAAATCTTCGCCAACATTCGGATCGTTGGGTATACTATCCACTTCCGACTGTTTCATTGGCAGCCGGCGGACAATCATTTGAATTGTTTTGCCGCTAGCGGTGACCTTCAATCGTTGGGCAGCAAATAGTCGACTGTTTGGCCGCAGCGGCTGTAGCTTCGATGTTGTCCCGGCTGTTGCTGTCGTTGCCGTCGATGATGATGAACAACAACAACCCATACTCTACTATCTATAAGGTTATGATTATCTGTTTGTTTGTTAATTAGGTTTATTAGCTGTTTGTCTATTCAAAAAACTGGTCAACAATTTTATCCCTTTTTATTATAATATAGTATGATATCTATCTATGATATTAATGAACAAACAAACAAAAAAATCAGTTATAAACTAAAAAAATAAAATTAATTTTTGTATTTGAAATTAAATCTATTTGTTTTGATTGTTTGCAAAATTATTTAGCGCTAGTTTTTATTGTGTCAAAAAAATCGGTTATTATTATAATAATAAACTAATAAACAAATAAATGGTTTGAATAATAATAATTGAATTGAAATTGTTGTAATTAAAACATTACGCGGTTATTGTGGTCAAAAAAAACAAACAAAAGTATTGTTGCAGTTATTATAATCGCGAGCTATTACTACTACTACTTCTAGTAGTAATAATAATAATATTTTTTAAAATTTGTAATTAACTGCTATTTATTTTTTGTGGTCATAACTCCATATCCATACATACCATCCAAACCTTTAATAAAGTTTTGTAATAATTATTGTTATATTATGACTACTAATACCGTACCATTTAAGCCGGTGACCAGTATCGGGTCGCCCTATTGCCGATACTGTTGTCTGGAAACACCCGAACCATTGTTGGCAAACTGTTGCCAATGTGTGGGTAACTCTCGGCTGCACTACAGTTGTCTCAGACATCTGGTTATCGATACGAGCGACGACTTATGCGGTCACTGTCGCCATCAGTTTGTCGACCGACGTATACAACGACGTCCAATGGACAGAAACTCGACAACACTGACTATGGCGTCGGCGGCTGCGGCGACGATCTCAATGGCCACCACTAAGAGAAGCACATCGACTGTTGTCGCGGCGGCCATACTGATAGCCATTGTTGTTGGTGTGGCCATACTGTTGGCGAGTTGTTGTTATCTGCGGCCCAAATGCTTGTCATCATCGAAGTCCGCGTTATCGGCACTTAAGTGGACTACAAATCAGTCCATTGCCTCCGCCGCCACCGCCATCATCAGTGATGGTCAGCAACAGCTGCTAAAATGTAGTCAACATGTCCAGTGTGTCGACTGTCTGGCCGTATTGGACGCCTACGAGGTCTACTATCTGCCCAAACGTATTATCGATCGGCACTGTTGCCGCAAATGTCGGCCAATCGATCCACCGAAGCCGTCACCGCCGTCGCCGCCTTCGTCGCCGCCATCATCATCGTCCAGATGGTGGTGGACCAGGACATCGTCGTATAGGACAATGTTATGGCAAAATAAATCCTTCAATAATGATAATCGGCTGACATTAGCCATCGTTGGTGCCATAGTTGTGATTGTTGTCTACTTGTTGGTCAAGTGCTACAGATATCGATATATAAATAGTCGGTACAGATATACCACAACCGCCGGCATTATTATCGTTGATGGTGTCGATAGTGTCGATGGCGGTAATACTGATGGTGTTGTTGTTGTCGATGATAATACTACTAATAATAATGATTACAACAACAACAGCGGCGTCGGCATCGGTAGCGGCGGTAATGATTCCCGAGTTGTAACGTTTGATAAGTGTACGGACGGTACCGGTCGTCGGCTAACTCCGTTGACAATTGTCATCAATTGTAGCGATGGCCAGTCGTCGTCGTTGATTGAACTACCGGTGCAGACAACTCCAGGCACCAGAAGCAGAAGCAGTCCATACGAACTAAGATCCCGTTCCCGACAATAATTTTCTTAATTTAAATTAAATTTATTTTATTATTATTTTTGTTAAAATTAACTTTTTATATGTCATATTTGTTTGTTTGTTGTTTTAAATTAATTAATTATAACAACAAAAAATTAATCTAATTATTTTATTTCATTACATATTATATTACTGTTTAATTTATTATCACAACAACAAAAATTTATGATAAAATACTACTACTGTTTAAATAATATTTAAATTTTTGTGTATTATTAATATAATAAAAATTCATTTATCAATAATAATAATAATAATAAAGTTTGATAAATATTTTTAGAAAATTAGTTATTAATTACTTACTAAAAAAATAATAATAACTTAGTATTTATAGTTAATTAATAGTTGAAAATAAATAAATTTTATTTTTATTACTGTATATATAACGTGTAGTAACAATAATAATATTGATGATTAGTATACATATGAAAATCCATAAAACATTTAAACATTAGATTTAAAAAATAAATATATATATATATATATAAATAGATAATAAAACCCCGTTTTAGCCATCAATTTATAATTTAAAAAAAAATATATAGAGATTTAGAGAGAGAGACAAAAAATCAATAATTATTGTCAATAATTCAAATATAATTCAACAAAAAAAAATTAAAAAAAATATTTCATATGAGTATCGATTACTATCAGATATTAGGCGTTTCGCAAACTAGTGGCCCGAATGAGATCAGTAAGGCCTACAAACGGCTGGCCCTACGCTATCATCCGGACAAAAATCATAGCCACGGCTCGCTGGAACAGTTCAAACAGATTCTTCAGGCCTATCAGGTGCTCAGAGATCCAACCCAGAGAGCTGACTACGACCTGACCCGACGCGGCTACGGCCGTATTAGTAGTAGTAGTAAAGCTAAACCGTCGGCAGCGAAACAACAGCGGCCGACAACAACACCAACAACAACATCGGCTTTGAACAACATCTATGTGACAGTTTGGTTGACCACTGATGAACTGTCCACTGGTACAGTCAAATCCATTGCATACAAGCGTACCGTTTATGTACCGCCAGTTAGTTACAAACATGTCGACGCAGTGGCCACTGTCAGTGTCCAACCGCATACACTGAGCGGTACCCGACTGACACTTAGTGGCCATGGTCATCAGTCGACAATTGGTACGGTCGGCGGCGATCTTATATGTGTTGTAAAATGTTTGTCGGAAAAGCCGCCGCCGCCGCCGACACAGCCGTCATCATCGGACAGCAATAACAAAAGGGAGTCGACATATCGGGAGTCGTCCGGAAGCGAAAAGTCCGCGGAAAGTCAGCGGACATCAACTGATAATTGTAATAATAATAATAATACTAATGAGGATAATTACAGCCGAAATAATGGCCAACAATTTGATGGCCAACAACTGTTCAAATATGTTTACGTAACACTGGAGGAAGTATATACCGGAACTGTCAAACAGGTTCACTATCAGCGCTGGCTATACCAATGCCAGACCTTATCATCGCCACCGCCGCCGACAACGCGGACACTAGAATTGGTCGACTCCGAAGTTACCGTTACCGTCAAACCCGGCTGTCTGGCCGGTACACGAATCACTTATCCCGGTTGTGGCCATCAAATTGGTATCAACAGTAAATACGCGAATCTAGTCTGCGTAATCATACAGTTGCCGCACCCGATGTTTACCCGCCAACAATCGGCCAACAACAATCTCGGTTGTACACTGCCGGTCAAGTTTGCCGATGCCCTAAGCGAATCTGGTATACAGGTGCCCACTCTAACCGGCCAACCGTTGACGATAGTAATGACCAGACAACAGTTAATCGAGTTTTACCAGAACTGGTCACTGGTTATCCAGAAACCGGGTTTAGGTTTGCCCGACCCGAATGGCCAACCGAACCAATTGATTGGTGATCTTATTGTTAGATTTCAAATGAAAAGTTAAGTTAAGTTAAGTTAACAAACAAACAAACAAACAAACAAATTGATGATCAAATGTTTGGCCAAAAAATAAAATAAAATATTTATTATATATGTATATAATATATTATATATCTTAATACTCTATATAATTGATATGATTTTTATATCTATGTATGTTATCTACTATTTTTAGGTTTATAATGTATATAAATACTATTGCATAATATTTTTGTATATATATACAGTATATTGTATTGATTGTACTAATAATTGATTTATATTATTATTTTTTTTAATTATTATTTAATAATTAATTAATTTTTTGTTGTTTGTAAAACAATTAATAATAACTTAATAATTTTTAGTTAGTTTTTTATAATGTTTGCTAACAATAATACTAATAATAATGAGATAATACTAATACAGTATTATTATTCAATACACAAAAAAAAATCTTTCAAACATCAGATTATAACCGTTTTATTTAATAATCAATTAATAAGATTTTATTTTAAAAAAAATAATAATATCAATTAATTTATTGAATATTGAATTAAGTTATCACTGATTTGACTATTTTATTACTGGTCACTAAAAAAATTTTTTTTTGTTTAATTATAATTACATTTAACAGTTTGTTTGAAATCACTCTCTCTCTCTCTCTCTCTCTCTCTCTCTCTCTCTCTCTCTCTCTCTCTCTCTCTCTCAAAATAAATGACTATCGATTACTATCAGATATTAGGCATTTCCCCGACTAATGATCCGCAAGCGATACGTAAAGCTTACAAACAACTGGCCCTTCGCTATCATCCGGACAAGAATCAGACCGAAGGCGCCGAAGAACAGTTCAAACAGATCCTGAAAGTTAATGAGAAGCTCTTCCAGAGAGCTGTCTCTAACCTAACCCGTTCCCGCACCCGAGGCACCGGTAGTAGTAGTCAAGCTAAGCCGCCAACACCGAAACAACAACAGCGGCGGTCACCGAAAAAACGACAACAACAACACCGGTCACCGAAACCACAATATTGGTCACCGAAACAACAGCAACGGTCACCGAAACCACAATATTGGTCACCGAAACAACAGCGGCGGTCACCGAAACCACAATATTGGTCACCGAAACAAAAGCGGCGGTCACCGAAACCACAATATTGGTCACCGAAACAACAAGAAGAGGGGTCACCGAAACAACAGCGGTCACCGAAACCACAATATTGGTCACCGAAACAAAAGCGGCGGTCACCGAAACCACAATATTGGTCACCGAAACAACAAGAAGAGGGGTCACCGAAACCACAATATTGGTCACCAAAACAACATCGGCGGTCACCGAAACAACAGCGGACACCGAAACCACAATATTGGTCACCGAAACAACAGCGGCGGTCACCGAAACCAGAATATTGGTCACCGAAACAACAGCAACGGTCACCGAAACACCAGCAAATGTCACCGAAACCACAATATTGGTCACCGAAACAAAAACAGCGGTCACCGAAACAACAAGAAGAGGGGTCACCGAAACAACAGCGGCCGACAATAACACCAACAACAAAGACATCGACTCTGAACAACATCTACGTTAGGATCTATGTGTCCGCTGATGAACTGATTGCCGGTACTGTCAAACAGGTGACATACAAGCGTACAGTTAGCCGCAAAAATGTTATGATGGTCGATACGGTGGCCACTCTTACTGTCCAACCGCGCACAGTAGCCGGTAGCCTAGTAACATTGGCCGGATTGGGGCATCAATCAGTTACGGCTGCTGCTGCTCCGGGCGATCTTATATTTATTATCAAAAAATCGTTGTCTTCCTCCTCCTCCTCATCAGCGGAAAGTCATAATTATTTTGATAGCCAACAATTTGATGGCCGACGCCAACAGCTATTCAAGTATGTGTACGTAACCTTCGAGGAAGTGGATACCGGTGCCCGAAAACAGGTAAACTATCAGCGCTGGCTCTATAATACCCGACAATACCCCCCGATCAGTTCAAATAATAATCAGCCGAAATTGGTCGACGCCGTGATTACCGTTACCATTCCGACGGGATGCCAGTCGGGTACAACAATCACCTGTCCAGGTGCTGGCCATCAAACTAGTGATGCCGATAGTGGCTCCTTAGTCGGTGACCTAAGCTGTGTGGTCATACATATACGGCCTCCGCAGCCGTGAAATGTTTGGCCGTAAAATATATATTAATTTTTTATCCAAATATATATATATTTGTTAACATAATTATGATTTTTGTTTGTTTGTATCTATTATCTACTGTACTGTATGTTATAATAATTATTATTTGATTGTATTAATTGAATTAATTATTTGTTATTTATTTAATTAATTTGATTTTTTTAAATAATTTGTTTGTTGTTAATAATAAAAAGTTTTATTTTCACTAAAATAAATATTTTATAAATGTTTAACAATTATATTATATTTACAGCATATACTGTAGTTTACAACACCAAGTAATGGATAATTAATTCAATTTTTAATTATTTTATTTGTATTACAAGTTCAATGAATATATGTATATATTGTTTGTTTAAATATTTGTTTAAATATTTGAAGTTATATTTTTAGGATGAAATTGTGTTTGTTTTTCAGTGTCTAGGATTTCAATGTCATAGATGCCCATAAAATAAATACAAATAAAAAAAATGTATTATAATATTATTATATAATTGAAAAAATCATTTTTATATGTCACTAATATAAAAAAAAATCATATTATACTGGTTATATACTAAATATAATTAATACTTTAGTATATTTATTAATAGATAATACAAAACATAATGTTTCACATATATATAAAAAAAAATGTTTTAATAATTATGATAATAATAATTATTATTATTATTAAATTATTGTAATTAAAAAATAAATGATAAAATCTGATCGGAAAGTCTAATATAGTTAAGTACAACATATACTATGATTTATATAACTATAGTATGACTTATAATAATAATAATTATTATTATTATTATACATACATTTATATAATAATAATAATAATAATTAAAGTCGTGCTAAATAATAATAAGATATGCAATCAAACAAATAAATCAATATTTAAAAATAAATAAATAATTTCCTATAAATTTATAACTGTTTTTAGTCATTATTAATATTATTATACAATATAAATGATACAATAGATATCATAGTAATAAAGAGGATAATTGTTGACCACTTTATTAATAGACAAACAGATAGTCATAACCTTTAGTATAGATAGTAGGGTATGGGTTGTTGCTGTTCATCATCATCACCGCCAACAACAACATCGAAGCTTCATCCGCTGCGGCCAAACAGTCGGCTATTTGCTGCCCAACAGTTGACGGTCACCGCTAGCGGCAAAACAATTCAAAAGATTGTCCGCCGGCTGCCAATGAAACAGTCGGAAGTGGATAGTATACCCAACGATCCGAATGTTGGCGAAGATTTTCGGCTAATATTTGGACCGCCGTTTAACGTCTGTACGAAACTGACCAAATTTGTCTATCTGTCGGGTATCGGGTCGCTGTCCAGAGAGAACCTCAAAAAGGAAGGCTTCACACTCATAGTCAACGCTACCTACGAGTGGCCGTGTATTGAACCCGAAGGCATTATGTGTATCAGAGTTCCCGTAAGTTTCTGTATTTGCCGTAATATTTATTTCCCGATATCAATACCCCTCCATTGATTTCATTGATTATCCATTCAATCAATTAGGTGGACGACGCGCCAACCGATGACATATCCATCTATTTTGATGACGTCAGCGACAAAATTGAAGAAAATACACAATTAAATGGCAAAACTCTGATCCACTGTCTGGCCGGTGCCAGTCGTTCAACAACATTGGCTATAGGTTTGTTTGTTTGCTACCCTCACCCCTCATCACACCTCACCTCTCTATTCCCATATATACATATACATACCTGAGCTAATTAATTACTATTTTTTATGTGTGTGTGTGTGTACTCTGGGACAGCCTATCTGGTAAAATACGAGAAAATACCGCTGAAGAATGCCTTTAATTCTGTATACAAACGTCGTGAATGTGCCCGACCTAATATGGGTTTCTGGGAACAGCTAATCAAATACGAAATTAAAGTCAAAGGACAGTCGTCTGTACGGATGATAACCAAGAAAATCGATGGCTTTTCCGTAACGGTTCCCGATTTCTATGAAAAAGACTATCAAATGTATTATCTGAAAGAAGTCGACAGACAAGTCAAAGAACAAAAGGATAAACAAGAAAATCCGTTAAAGAAAACTAAATCACAGAAACAATTCAATCCGAAAACCAATAACTATGAATAGTTTTATGAATAAGGGATTAGTTAATCCTTTATTATTATTATTAATCCTAATCCACACACTAATCCTCCTAACTATCTCTCAATTGTAAACAACCGATTAATTAATTAATAAAAATATTTTACTATAGTTTTTATTTGTTTGTATATTAGTATTATTTTCAATTTTTTTTAGATATAATTTTTTTCTGCATATATTTGTTTTATAAAAGTTTATATTTTTAATAACAAAGTATTCAATTTTAATTAACATTTATAATAATAATATCAATAATAATTAATTAATTAATTAATAAAAAATATTTAATTCAAGTATTTATTTGTTTGTATATTAGTATTATTTTCAATTTTTTTATAGATATAATATTTAATATATTATATTTGTTTATAAAAGTTTATATTTTACAAAAAACAAGTATTCAATTTAAATTAACATTTATATGTCAATAATAAAAAAAATATATTACAGTATATATTTATTTAGATAAATACAAGCATTTTAATATTTTTCATCTATTAAAATGTTTTAATAGTAATATTAATTAATTATAATATAAAAATTATTAGATTATATGCTAATGGGTAAAAAAAAGTCAGATCATAAATTTCAATTAAAAAAATTATAAAAAAAATAATTTTAAAAAAATCTATTATTAAATAATATCAAATAGTGTCTAATAGTCTAGAAAATCCTTTTATATACACATTATTTAGCAGTTGATTATCACACCAAAAAAAACATATGTAATTAATTCAATACATATAGAGATAACATATATATATATATATATATATAAATAAAATTAAATGCCCGGTAAATGTGTTGCTAATATACAGTACATAAATATATATATAGAGAGATATAATTTATATAAAGTATTATTGTATTTATGTCATGTAATTACTATCATATATTTATATATATATATATCTAGTATTTATCCAATAGTTTTATCAGTAAATATAGAGTTAAAATCCATTGTCAAAGATGAGAGTCATAGAGAGAGAGAGAGAGAGAGAGAGAGAGAGAGAGAGATAGGGATGATAATCAAGAATTATGGCTTACTATCCATTAGCAACTAATATATAACTTTTATGTGTGTGTGTGTGTGTGTGTGTGTGTGTTATGGGGAGAGAGAGTGAGTGAGAAACTACATGTCCCACGATATGACATCACTAAAACATTTCATATTACTGTAGATACAGTATTGTATCGTATATTAGGGATGCGAGAGATGAGAGTGAGAGAGAGAGAGAGAGAGAGAGAGAGAGAGAGAGAGAGAGAGAGAGAGAGAGAGAGAGAGAGAGAGAGAGAGATCGGTGACTAAAAGAGAGAGAGAGAGAGAGGAATCTTTATTGGATACACGACTCCCCAGTGGCCAACACATACACACACACGCATACATATAGACACATATACCGTACATATAGTACTTATAAACAATTTCAAGCACAGGGCTTTTTTTGTTGGTGCCTTTTGTTGTGCCTAATCGAGTGCTCATCCGAGCGCATACATCCCGCCTGTCGTCCAACTGATTACCACTACTATGGCTATGACTGACTGCACCACTACTAAAGCCTCTAACTGTCTCCCATCTCCCGATGACTCGTAACACACACACACACACACACACACACACACACACACACACACACTGACAGACCTATTGACATGACTACTACTACTACTACTACTCATCGGACAGAGATATCTACAGTACTATCTCTTTGTATAGCATTTTGTTAGTTACAAAAAAATGCTATGAAAAGCACACATACAGACAATGATGCTATTGTTGTTGTCATCTCTCTCTCTCTCTCTCTCTCTCTCTCTCTCTCTCTCTCTCTCCTCTAGTAATGAGATCCGGATGATCACCACAACTCACGAGGAGAAGACTCTCTCTCTCTCTCTCTCTCTCTCTCTCTCTCTCTTGAAAAACAATGCAATCTTGTTAAGCAAACAGAGAGAGAGAGAGAGAGAGAGAGAGAGAGAGAGAGAGAGAGAGAGAGTGAAAGAGAGTTTTCGGAAATTAATTCATAGAGTCATCAATTAAATGACACACATAAAAATGATAAATTTTGTAAACAAATTACAATATGCATACAATTTGGCAAAAATTTTTAATTAATTAAATTAAATTAAACTATTAATTAAACTCCTAAAACACTATTTTTTAACAAAAAAAATTGTTGCAATAAATTATAATGATTTATAACTATAGTATTAATAGTAGTGTTTTTTTGTGTTAGTATTAGTTTATTAGGAAAAGTTAACTGTTTATTATTATTATTATTATTATTATTATTATTATTATTATTATTATTATTATTATTATTATTATTTATTATTATTATTCAATATATAAATTATATTTATGTATATCATTATAGCCTGTATTAATAGTATGCATAATAGTTGTTAGGATTAGGAAAATGGACATTAATATCATATCTCTAGAGTGTGTATAAGTAAGGGATGGATGGATGGATGGATAGGGAGATGAAATGCCCGGTTGTTGTTTTTGTTTGGATGGGCACAAACCCCGCGAGGAATGTATATGAGAGGAATGCCCGGATCACTCACTCACCCACTCTCCCTGTCCTCTACAGTAATATAATGTTTATGACCAATATATACATTATAAGTGTATGAATGGGCATATGTATGTGATATGTTAATTGGACACAATAGACATGCCGGGACGCGGAAGGACAGGCCATACTAAACACTAAGCTATTAGTTTTAACTCATTGACCGCTTGTTTATAGTAGTGTACAGTATGATACAGTACATGGATATACTAGTATAAAGCTAACGGTACGCCCCCCAATAGACACCAACAACAAAAAAATAATAAATAGGAAGAACTTGATTCAAGTGTTTATCCACTTTCTCTCTAACTCTCTCTCTCTCTCTCTCTCTCTCTCTCTCTCTCTCTCTCACTCACTCACTCACTCACTCACTCACTCATAAACATTTTGTTATCATCAACAATATCTCTCTCTCTCTCTCTCTCTCTCTCTCTCTCTCTCTCTCTCATGTAAATGACATATCAGTATTTATACATCAATATTACTAATTGAATAAATGCTATATTGAATAGTTATATGAAAGATATGAGTGAGAGGTTGGCTTTTAATCAAAATTTTTTTTTTTTTGTTCATATCATAGTTATATACAGTATATACAGTGGTGGTAGTGGTGATGGTTGTGTGTGTAGTGTTGGTGTCTTTAATTATAGACAAACACCGACACCACTAACAACAACAACAACAACACCATATAAACTATCGTCAAAAGAGCCCAACAATAGGTGATTCATAAAAGTTTTAATTAAAAACATTAACAGTTGGCCAACGATACAGATGTTTGTCTATTAATATATATATATATATATACTGTATATTCATCGGAGAAATCTCTCTCTCTTAGTCTCTCTCTCTCTCTCTCTCTCTCTCTCTCTCTCAGTCAGTCAGTCATCTCCGGTAATCATATTCATTGTGTCAATTCATTGAGTTATTGCCAAAGAGAGAGAGAGAGAGAGAGAGAGAGAGAGAGAGAGAGAGAGATCAAAGAGAGTGATTGCCTTATAATAAAATATAAGGGCAAACAACAGATACCATACAATATAAATTAAGTACAGTATATACTAGTATATAAGTAACATACCGTACCGTACCGTATCGTATCGTTTTTTTTATAAATACCGGAGCAAAGTCAATCCTACTCAATCATATTACATCATATAGGATGTCACCGGTATTTTTTTGCGCCCAAATTAAAGCCGACTTTATTTTTCATATATTTAGTATATATATATATATATTTTAAATACTATCAGCAGTAGTATATCTACATAAATACCGGCTCTCTTTATATACAAGTATATACTGTCTATATATATATATATATATATATATATATATATATATATTGGCCAAATGTTGCGATAATACTTATAATACAACAACAAAAAAAGTGCCGCAAAATTAATGCATCAAATACTGTATTATAAGTTTATATGATATGTACAGTATGTATGTATATATGAGTGACAGTAGTTTAGCTAAAAAAATAAAATAAAAAATAAAAGTTGAATATACAGCTAAAAAATGTAAATCTTTATTGTATATAGACTTTAGTGTCTATAATAAGGCATTGACAGTCAATATCTAATATCTCTCTCTCTCTCTCAACCATATTGTGCAGCACATAAAGTGCATATATTATGGCATTTTTATTATATATAAATTATATTTTGAAAACTTTTATATTATATTTAAATTTAAGAGTGAAATTGTTTGAATTAATATATATATATATATAAAAAAAAAAGTTTATTATTGTTTGGGAATTAATTTCCCTCAAAAAACTTTTTAACTTTCGCCACATATATAACAATAATATATATATATATATATTTATATATCCGAAAGCCTATTATAAAACACAAAATAATTGTTTGGATTTTTATTATTATTTCAAAGGGTTTTTTTCATTAAATAATGGCTTTTAAGTACAGTATTTCAATCAATAATAATAAACTAAATAAGTTTTTTTTAGATTTGCTTTAAAATCTGTTTTTTCAAAAAAAAATGTTGAGAGGATTAGGACCTTACAGAAAAAATTTATAAGTAAAATAAATAAATATATTTTAAATATACTTTATATATATATAAGAAAACGCCTAAATATACTGTATATTTAGTCAAATAAAATGACAATAAAAATTGTGGTTATAAATAGATTTTTAAAAAAAAGTTTTTTTATATATTTAATGACACACACAATGAATTTGTTTGAATAATAATAAAACTAAAAAAAAATAATATTTATTTATTGATTGATTGATTAAAATAAAACACTTGCTTTTTTGAACTAATAAACTTTTAAAAAAAAAAATAATACATATATAATACATATATTGTAAATCATTAATAAAATATCAAACAAACAAACAAACAAAATCCTATTTAAAGTGTAAGTACTTTAAAGTTTATAAACTAATTGTAATGTAAATGTTATTTAATATAAAAAAAAACATATTATATATACCGGTATATATCACTCAATAACTAATATCATTGTTTAG